CAATAAATATTCTTAAACTACTGGCAAGCGATGGGATACGTAAAAGTGGCATATAGTATTTCGCCGATAGAAAACGTGAAGGATTGATGTAATCGGATTTCAGCTGGTTCAGCGTGCACGTTTCGTGCTAATACCTCATTCTGTATACAGCTGGCGCGTTCTATCTCACTACCTGACCATTACAGCTGTTGTCGTCGCTATGTGGTAACTAAGTGGCGGTATTTTAGTGAGTTTGACTGGCTTGAGCGTTTTCTGGCAACTTTACATGTTTTTGTATGTAAAAACGTTGTCAAAATGGGAAGAGGAACAGATGTTACTGACGAGCGGAAAGTATTGAATAGCATACCGTTTCGTCAAAACAAGTGTACACAACGCGAAATGGCTGAAATGTTTAATGTTTTCCAGACCGCAGTTGCTAGGAAGCTGAGGGAAACTTCCCGCTGCCATCGCGTAAAATCGGTAACAAAAATCGGAAAAGATTTGCTATAAAGCCGCACAACCGTGTAATTATATACAAACTTTAGAAATATAGGTTCGTCTAGCTGTAGATTAGCTGTGTCGAAAATTACCTTGTTGTCCATTCAAAGAGGTTGAGTTCAAGGGTGGTAGAGGTGCGAAGAGACCTCGGTTTAATGACCGCATGAAACGAGCCCGTTTCTATCGGACGAACCAAGTTATACCGTTGACAATTGACGGAAAATCCGTTTTTTCTACAAACCTTTACTTTAAATTCTCAGAAAAATTTTTCGTCGAGCTTTTAGACATGTTAGTGAACGTTTTTCCCAAAAAAACAACGTCGCGCCAAAAATCAAGCACTTAACGTTATGATATGATCTATAATTGTTAGCAAAGGCATTAGGGTGATACAGTTTACAGAATACTAGGTCGGCAAGAATATGCTAAGCTTGTTGAGAGCGAAACGCTGTCTCAGGTATGGAAATAGTTTCCTCACGGAGCCACGTCCCTACATACGATGCGGCACCTTGTCACAAGCTCGAAATATTTTTAACATGCTCGTTGCCAATGGCGTTCAGACGCCGCCGTGGTCTGCTAGGCCGCTGCGACAGAACTCTATCCTATAGCAACTATGTCGGGAATCGTAAAATTACGAGTTCAGCATGGACCGGAAATAACAAATTTTCCAGATCTTTCCAAGACAATCATTAATGCGTAGCAACACGAACCACTCATAAATGAAGGAGCATATTCCAAAGGATGGCGAGAACTATCGCTGCAAGGGGCGGTATCACGAAGTATTGATATTAACAACTTGGTCACATTGTCTGTCAACCGTCTGCAGATTTTCGGCAATTTTTTTATGGACGTGGAAGACATGGACGTAAAGTAAAATCATAAACCCAAAAACATTTGAAAATATCTCGTTTCAGTGCTGCGTAATTCGCTTTGAGAGTTGAAACTATTCGATTGAGTTTGAGTGTATTTGATTGATTACCAACAGTACGATCGATGTATTTGGATCGCGCTCAAATCGTTATTTCGCTCGAAACCAGTGATATCTTATTCCTTGCAAATACAAATACGCGGTGATCAAGAATAAGCAAAAACTTGAATTGATAAAACGTTCGATAATCAGAAGGTGTCTCTTTTACTTCGTTCAGCATTATTCCTTAGATGCATAATTGGCTATTACATTACAACTACTCAGATATAAATAGAATTTTTTTTTGAAAAAGAAGAAATAAAATGAATTTGAAGAAATAAAAAGAATTTTAATGCCACTAAAAGCCCACAAAAGGTTCTGTTAAAATGAGATTTTTACCTCTTATACTCATCGATCCTTATAAAAACACAGAGCGATCTCAGTGGAGCTGGGCTTTAATTCTGATAAAATGAGTGTTTAAAATTAAAACTTTCAGATGGAAATTCAATATTACATTTTTAGTTCGGGGTAGAATTAGTTGGCAATAGATTTGTACAGTGTGCCGATTCTCCGAATGTATATTCATCTTGGTCGGTCTGCATTTTGTTTACTACGAAACAGCCATGGTTGCTTGATGATCTCGTTGTTTTCTACTGCTAGATAGATTACCCTACTCTTCAGTAAGTCGGTGCGACATGCGACCTCTGCCGCGCAGAACTGGTCAACCTTTGCGCACCGCTTTTTTACAATGTTGCAACCGATATAAACCCCAGCAATACGTTCACGTGCCAATATGCACGATGCCTCTACTTGCGATGGGCGGATTACGAATGCCCGGAAGGGCTTCCGCAAGCTTTCGATTCTCTGAGAATTGTTCCTGTTTATTATGCCTTTCTTCGATGCACAGGCATCTTCTTCAGAACCGTGCTAATTTGTATCAACCTAGCTGCCGAGCTAATAAAAATTGTACATGCTTTTGGCAGAAGCTGTTATTATCAGTCTGAATTGTAGAAAGGCAAGCACCATACCAACGGCGAGAAGAAAACAGCGGTCAAATAAACAACACTTCTCTTTCTTACTTGGCAAGATGCTAACTTTATGCAGTACGACATTCCTTGTGCACTACAGACTAACGCAGGCCTTTTCGGTTTAAGCAGAACTCGCAACCTTTTTACACGAAGTTCTCTTGGCGAAATCGCCGATGTGGTAAAGGCTGATGAGCTTTGAATCAGGCGACAATACAAGCTTGACTACAGGATGAATGTCCGCTTTGCAGGTGTCGCTCTTCAGGTATCAGTGCGTTACTAACGAATCAACTGGTTTACGTACCGACGCTACCTGCTAGGCGCGCTGCAGTTTAATATTGGCTTTCATTTAATGCCACTTGAGTGGTCGTTCGCACGAGAGACAAAGAGTAAATCTCGGCTTCTCTCCCTGTCTCGAGGCCTAGCGTGGTGTCATTCACGCACGTGCTGAGGGACGGGTATCTCCCACGAATGCGCAAAGACCTAGGGGTATCTTCCCTTAACGCCAATGACAAGATACTTGCCAATGCAGAGTTAGTTTATATATAAAGTGGGCCAGGCGCCCAAGCGCGACGATGGCGCTACAGCAGCAGCGACAACTATTGACCCTGTTGATTTGAGTAGCAGCGTATCTATTATATAGATATGTACATAGAGTATGTGGTGCAAACAACTGTGTATGTCTCTGTTCTTCTACGATGATGGATAAATTGTAACTGTGAGTGGTTTTCTGCTTTATTTTCCAAATGGCTGGTCAGAGAATAGCTGAAGACGTCTTATGAAGCAGTTTTTTTTATTGCCGTTCATGTCATTTTCATTACATTACGTCGCCAGTCATTGCTGGCATTACTAGTCGTACAGCTTTGTAAATATTATTATTTATTATACGGGCAAAATGCTACATTGCAAAATCGTAATCAACATTGGATTGGCTATTCGAATCCCCATTCCTGTTCTGCCCTCTTTCCCCTAAAATAGCGGCTACAAGACGATCCCTAGGCAACAAGTGAAAATAACTATTCTGTAGAGATAGCTACGCCGATCATATAACGGAACTCTACCGTAAATCGGAAGGCAAAGCAACAGGATAACAAAGCGTCCAACAAGTGACGCCGAGTTTCTATAAACATGCGGACACTAGCTTCTTGAATGCTCTCACTTTCTGCATTGCTGCCCTCGATCGTTATCGCTTCTATCACAACAACAAACACTGCGTACGGCTTCGATCTTATAGGTAGCTATCCTCTTAACCGCTGCGGCATAGCATAGCTGGACTTTTGACGGCTGACTAGTGTAGGTCGCGACAATGCGTGGTGACATCGAATGAAACCACAAAACTGGCGAACAAAACAACAGCGCCGACGACGTCTCTTGACGTTGCAACACGCGTACGCCAACCACAAACGCCTCCATGACAATCACCGATTTTTAGTACTAGTATTACAACTACAGCTAAGACTAACCAGATGACAAGCCTACTACCACTGTCTGGAAAACTTGATATCGTTACCAGGTAAAGATGGATATAGATTTTTTTTAAACTGCTCAATGGAAGGAAAACGACCAATTGTGACATCTAATAGCGGGGTGAAATGAAATTTGGCATCACCATCTTATAATAGTAAGAGCAAAAAGCCAAGGTGTGTGTACCACGAGCCATCAATGCAGCGCTTTTTCTAATTTTTTTTTTCACAAATTCCACACTTAATATTCTATACTGTGTTTACAAATAATGTCTTCCTTTAAGGCTTTTTGATAACGGGCTTGCGAATCGTAGGCGCTGACTATTTTGTGGCAGGATTATGACGTCCGTTAACATAGGCAACAACACTGAGATTTGAAGTCGACTCCTTTCATCGAAACGTAGCCAGGTTAACGTGCTTGATACTTCCTAGTAGGAATAGCATCGAAGCCGGTGAAATTTAGTATAATGCTTGAAAAATAAAACGGAGCACCCCTTTCTCGGAGCTACCCTTTCTCGAGAAAAACACTGGTAATATCTGGGCTGGCGCTTGAAAAACCGTGAAGTTTGTCAGTGCCAACTACATATCATCCTTGAGCCTGCACGAACAAGTCAAGCTGCATTTGTCCTAACTCACATGAAAATGACAATAGCTGATAGTGTATACGAGATCGGTGTAGAACATTTATTCGATGGTGGTATTTAATCATTTAGCACGATGGCACCGTACGCTAATTGATTCAAGTATTTACTAATTATACTTCCACGGTTTCAGATGATCACGTTACCTGATGAAAGGCTTCTCTAGACAGTTTAGAATGCGATAATCTATCTACATGGCTATTGTTCGAGAACATTGAAGATTTTTATTAAGATAATTAAGAGCACCGTTCAGCGTATTACATTAATTGTTTTTAGAGTAGACATGCACGCCTTTTCGATAATATTTTAGAACGTTTATGTTAATATCAGGGGTAAATCAATACGGAAATTAATTTCCGTCGAGAACGAAATCGAGCTATTTTCCCCTTTAAATATTGCAAGTTTATTTGTTTTTTTTTTTGTTAGGAACCTACCCTTTAAGACTAATTTCAGCATAAACTGAAAAGGCGCGATCTGGTTGATATTTCAGAAGAGCGTTCGTCTAACACAGAGCCATTGAAATAAGTAGAAGTTCCTTTAAGAGGACCTCAACGAGAGGCTAGGTCTGCAGCGTTGACGGTAAGTACAACCGGCGTTAAAGCTAGGCACCAAGGCTGAACTGCCAATTGACAAAGCCTTTGACGTACCTGCCAGACGAAACTATCAGTCCAGTAGATTTACAAATAATGAACTTTCTATGAGGAGCTAAAGAGCTAATACTGCATTTGATGGGTGTCCATTTCAGTGTTGAATGGAATGAACTTTAGGCGAAGTTTTCGGTATTTCCAACAGTAAAATGAAGTGACAGAATAAAGTTAAGTTAGTACTTAGTTCATTGGCTGTACTATTTGTAACTACGATCATTATTTACTCATTAAGCGGCGTTTCAGCTATCCGTGTACACCTTTGACAAATTCTTCGACAGTGTTCCGTTTAGAAAATAATGGTTTTGAAAGCACTTTAAATAGTGCAGTTTAGAAAAAGATTTGCCTAACGAATGTTGTAACGGCAAAATTGCTTAAAAAATAATTTTAGACTTGTATAATGAGTGAACAGAATGCGCGTCAAAGTTTAAACAGAATAAGTAAATGTCTCTTGTTGTTCCTTGTAAGTACTTGTCCTTAGAAGCTGAGAAAATAGGAAGAATGTAGGCTTTATGAAAATTTGCAAATTTTGTACAAAATTCTGATGCTCAGAAGTAGTTGCCAATGGTATGGGAGCGTTAGAAGAATTTCTTATAACTTGTTTCGGTATACGTTTATCTATTAAGAATTTAGATGAAAATGATTAGGTTCCAATTAGTTAAGATCATATGAGTATCGCAATATGATTTTTGCGTAGAACGATTGCAAAGTAGCAGTCCTTTTAATCTGATCACCTCGATGGTGCACCGTAGAAGCTGTTGCCACTTGTCCAGCAACATCATCAATGGCGCTACATCTAAGTTCAGTTAAATACAGTAGCTAAGGCCAGAAAAGTCTTCCTAGTTACGAATACAATGTGCATACATCATACGGCTACCTAAGACGTTTACAAGATGATCCACAAAAGTGTACTCTAGCTGTTCATTTCGAATCTAATAAACCTGTTGAACACATGTTCGAGCTTCGGCTCGTCAAGTACTTCCCATTACTTCATGCAAGATTACAACAAACTATTAAAGATTATATCATAACCAAATTTCTAGTCGAACGCAAAAATGAATTTCAGGTAAACCAAACGCAAACAAAATAGAAAGCGTAAAAACATAGCGGCTTCAATATCGGATCAACTTGACCAATGCAACTAATAATATATTTGCCTATTTGTTAATTGGCGTTAGCATTCAGCCGTATTCACCCATACCGGTGTCTTAACAGAGTTCAATTATTGCGGCTACATAGACATGTGAAGAATAATAATAACTTAATAATGATAACATATTGGCCTACACAAATAGGCATGGCACCCATATTTTCTGGGAGCACGATTTGTAGCCGGAAGCGATGCAGAGCAATCTTGAAAAGAAGGATTTGTCCAAAGGATAGGCGATAAGCAGTGAATTGCGGAATAGGGTTGTGTTTTAATTAAGCAGATTAGAGGTAGACGGGCCTCCATTGATCTGAATAGGGACGATTACGATGTATTGGCCACCAACCGCACTAAATAAGCAAGCAGTGCTTACTTTACTAGCTACGACAGCTGCTAACTGATCCATCCAGACATAACAGAGCCCCAGAGGTAACATAACCATCGATAGACGGCCGTTCGTCGCAAGACGAACAAGGGCTTGCATTGGCCAACAGTTGTAGTAAAAAACGCTTACTGCCTTAGCAGGACAAAGCGTCAAGGACTAGCAGTAGAAGCAGCAGGCGACAGCAAAGACAGCAATACGCTGCGGCAAGCCAGTGCGGGAGACGACGAAGCTGAACAGATCGAGGCTGCTTTGTCTGTCGAGATGCCGTCACAGAAAATCGAATGGGCAGAGCAACTCACTGTTTACAAGATTATAGGTCGTCATAAAACGATCAAAGGTCAATACCATCAGAAAGGTATCCAGGGAATACCATTCGACGTAGCCCAGTCATCGACCGGAAGAACGGAAACCAGAATTTTTTTTCCTATATAAGGAGTAATGCTAAACCAGATGCTGATATGAGATTACGGGATACACAGAGGCGGTTACTTTCAGTCAGTAGGACCGATTTGCGTTCATTCACCCTTTGTAATACTTATATGTATGTCAAAAGTATTGCTTTTGAAGGATGATAGCGTTCGCGATCAAGTTAAATGTATTTTTTCTAGCATCTAATTTTCAACTTACGCCATTATAATATTTAATGTGCTTCTGATCGGCGTTTGCGAGCCAATTTGTCCTTCACTGAGAGAAAATCGTAGTACTCTAGGGAAAATACTCCCAAAGAAAGGTCAACGACTTTAAGAACATTCTTATTGTTTTCGTTTCCGATCGATAAAGGCATAGAAGATATAAGGATCTATAGTGCTTGCGTAACACTGACAACCTAACATAAAAACATTATATTAGAATATATATCTATACATTCATTACTTTTTCATTATGTTAGCGATGATACCAAATTTGCATCTGACAATATCTACTCAATCGATATATCAATTAATTACTACGAATAACTACGAGTTAATCGAGTACGTGTGTGAGAACAACCACTGATCAACTTGAAATGGTACGTTGGACTTAGGTAATTGAGGTTAAAGTATAATAATCATAAAGATCGCCGATGATATTTTTACGACAACGGTCCTAACGATTTAAAAATTGAACACTTTAGATAAAGATAGAGGAAATTAAACAATATTAAAGTTAGAATTTTTTTGCTAATTTACAAAATTAACTTTACTTCTAATTAGCGCCTGTCTGCCTCTGGCAAATGAATTGATTTCTTCCGTCATTGCTAGCTAGAGAGAGACTATGTACAGTTATATAATGCTATTATATATATATATATATATATATAATGACAATGTGCTACAGTTAAGCCTCTTATCGACTTTGCTATGGGCTTTTCCGTGTGGATCGACACTAGCCTTTCTTACTATGATTACTAGCGATATGAGTCAACCGTCACAAACAAAAACAGTACACTGATATTCTCTCATCGCATGCACACCTCTTTTGACCCAACCTATCGTGTTCCGTTTATGTTTATAAAGTACCATTATGTTGTGTGCACGTTTTAGTTCAAAATTCCATCTCTGAAATTTAAAAATGTGTGTTGTGAAGCACCAAAATTTATAAATAAGTAAAGCCTCTGCACATCAAACTTTTGAAACCTCAAGTTCGGCGTGTCCGATCGGAGAAGCTATCCAGGAAAGGTACTGACGCGCATAACGCCGCGTCGTATTTGCATCACGTTATACTGCATCGTCTGTAGATACACATAGTACCAGCCAAGTAAAAACTCACTGCCGGATAGAGGATGTGATGATACCTATGTACTGCGAAACGTGCAAAATGTGTCGGTACGTACGTTCTGTCTGCTTCTCTTCAGACGTCGTCAATCATCGGCTCGTGTAATAAAAAAAAAGTCGAGATCAATCTCCGCCATCCTTCTCTTGCATGTACTAATCAATCAGGGAGGGGAAGGGGAGGTGAATCTGAGTTTCAGATTTTCTATAACTAACGTTGTGTCGTCTAAAGAAATGCACGTATCTATTCAAGTATCTATAATAGACTCGGTAAGGCTAATGAAAAATAGATTTTTTGGTTGTCTAGGTTGAATCTTAGAACACGGATAAAGGCAGATCATATAAAAATAACCGGTCCTATTTCCGAACGTTCCATGCACTTTTATCATTAGTCTCATGACAAAGAAGTAATTAATCAACACATATTTACAAACGCCATATTTTTGACATGTTTATGCGTGCAGTGAATATGCACGCACATGTTTAATGATTTTTTGTTTAACGATATTATGTTTGTGTTAGCTTCAAGAAAGGTGACTTAACCTGAAAATTTTGAGCAAGTCTACATCGTTACGAGATCGATTTACGAGACGTGGTATATGCTGAAGCCAGGCGAGTGCTACGTACATGACGGTGCATCTCTTAGCCATCACGCAGGGCGCGCGTGCGCTAATATAGAGACTGAATGTCTCTAATATGGTGCGGGTATTAGATATTTTAACACCGATCACACCATGAACAACAATTTGACTTATCTTAAATGACGCAAGCATATTGTGATTAACGGCATCGTCTCATTGTAAATCGTGACCCTGAAATCGTCGTCTTCTAATACTACATAAAGCTGAGAAATCTTACGATTAGTATGTGCAGCGAATCTGGCCGGAGATTTATGCGTGTCTATCCATCGCTTATCGGTGAGGCTACAATATGACTAGTTTCGTCACAAATCGTGATTCGGAATAGTAAGTCGCTAACAGGAATTGTCATACCACAAATTGTCGGATGCGCATAAGATCGCCCTTCGGTCACTTGCTACGTAGGCCAACTACACAACTTTGACACGTCATGGGCAGGTTTTGATTAACTCGACGGTATCAACAAGGCAGTGTCTATGAGGCAAGAACTGTAGTGCCCTTTAGCCAGCTACTATTAATAGACACTAGAAGAAAATAAGGGTTTCTCACTTTGTACGAGGCTTAGCATGATATTCTCTTGTGTATAGCGTGGCTGTATTTGGGGTGGCCTCCGCTAATAGAGAAAAGTAGTTGTATGTTGAAAAGAGTGCAGTGACATGAACCACATTTTGTTTAACTGACGACAACATGGTAATAGCATTACTTGAATTTGAATATAGTTAGCAGAGTGTCTGGAATAAATATCCATATCATACGACGTCACCTGATCTTGCGCTCTTCCCGTCAAATTGTATAGTGCTTCGCCGCATTTGCAGTTTAATGATCAAAGTTCAGAGAGCAGAATCCGAGGATCGAAGTGTGCGATGACGTTACGGGGCCATTGAGTGGGTATACCCGACTGGTGTCTGTCGCTCTGCAGTCACATGCACGCTGTTGTTTTCAATGCTGCATCAAGCCATTATCTAAAAGCAAAAAAGACTCAAAACATTTCCTAAAACAAAAGATTACTTAATT